AACAGAATACAGAGATGTTTCGTAAACAGGCGTGCTACGTACCGCAACAATTTCATCTATTGCCGTTCCTCACGACGAGAGAAACATTCTATATAGCGGCACGTTTGAAAGTCAACATTAATCAAAATGAACGAGCAATTCATTTAATTGTAAGTATAATAAATAAATAAAAATGCGAAAGACACATTCCAAGTGTGTACAATATATAAAATAATATTTATTCATATATAATATATATGTATATATTACGTATATACATATATATTATAATAAATAAATATGTATATAATAAATAATAACATATTATTATATAATTAATCATATATTTTAATATATATATTTAAAACATTATATATACATAATAATTATAAATAAATATAAATGTATAATATTATATGTGTAATTATGATATATATTTTTTATATTGATATTTTTACTAGTACTTAACTTGTGCTAAATAAAATGCTAAATAAAGTTGTATAAATTGACACATCGCACATTATATATTAAATATTTCTCTCAGGTAAATGATATTGCAAAGAGTCTCGGCTTGACAAATTGCCTGGACACATTGGCGTGTAAATTAAGTGGTGGTGAACGAAAAAGACTCTCCATCGGCGTGGAAATGATTGCCAAGCCATCCATTTTTTTACTAGACGAGCCAACAAGCGGACTCGACAGTGCGACCTGTAATCAGGTATAGCATAGATTACTAAATATTAATATAGCTATACATCAGTAATAATCGTTTTACAAAAACGTTGTTTGACATTGACATAACGGCCGTCTTCAAAAGATGTAGTATAGATTACTAATACAGTTATACGTCAATAACAATCGCTTCCCGGGAAAAAAAGTTCCACATATAATATATAATTATATATAATTATATGCAAAATATGTCCGTATATGTTTTTTTTCTTTGTAAAATTATTCTTTAATACAAAATTTATAATAATAAGAAGGAAACCTAAAAATAATTAAAAGAATAATTTTTACA